GGGGGGGAGGAGGTTGGGACTCAGAAGAAAGATACAAAATTTGTGGGACATCAAGGTCTGAACCTTGTGTTTGAAAAAGGCTCCAGTGACCTGCCCAAATTTGGTTGCCTTCCAATGCTTACTCGGCTTTTTTTGTATGGAATAACCTGTATATTAACTATTTTATACCTTGAGTTGAGGACCAGTAATCATATGGTGTGTATAAAGCACTGCCATAAAGTAGAATGTACTGAAAAAGATAAAGGCCTTTCTGATGGAAATGGTTTTTGAACTGTCACAGAGAAAGGTTACTGTTATACTTTTACTTTTGTGGGTTTTAAGTGCACAGGTATTGCAGGCCATGTTTAGAATGTCGTAGTGGAGAAATCTTGTTGCATTTTCTTGACCTATTTATGTTCATCTGTGATAATGTGTACAATATTTGTGAAGGGTGCTGACAAATTGAGGTACTTCTTGGATTCAAGGCTTAAGGAAATAGATATATCACCCCATAAATAGGTGAAGTTTTACAATTTATAAATATGAAATAATAAAAGACAGGTTATAGTAAAAGAATGTGGCATCAATAGAGAATCTACACATTTGTTCCGAATGTAGAATTTTGGCCTATATCTCCGTTTATGGATTGCGAGAAGTAACTCATTTTGTTGGCACACCTCACATTTCATTTTGCCTTTATTCCAAACCTGTACAAAAACTGTTGGATCAGCTAGTATGTTTTCAGGTGGGGAAGAGATGAGAGGATTTTTCATTTATTTTGCACTTTCACATTTTGTTCTTCCTTCTGCTATTGTTGACAAAAATATTTCCGTCCAACACTCAATGTTTGTTTGTAAATTGCATTGAAGAGTGTTGATTTTGAGTGCTTGGTCTTCTCCTGTATGTCTGCCTCTCTTCTGTATATCTACACCTCATTGTAAGGGCGATTATGCGTCTTTTTAAAAAATCTCTATTCCTGTTTCTACAATTCATTGTATGATTAAGCTCCCCGTGCTGCTGATTCTTTTGTCACTGTTCCTATATCTACCAGTACAACTCATTGTATGAAGCTCTCCTTTCTGCTGATTCTTTTGTCACTGTTCTTGTATTTACTGCTCATGACAAGGGCTTCGATGTATCCCTGGTTCACCCCTTCTTCATTGTGTATCAGTAAGTCTTTGAAGGGTGTTGATGTAGCAGCCGTGCTTGATCCTCTCGTGACTGTCTCTATATCTACAGCTTCGTAACCAGGCCCAGGGTGAACTGCGAGCTCTGAGGGCCGAACTGACGCAGAAGAAGACGACCTTGACATCGTCCAGACAGCAGGCACCGCCCATCTTGGTACATCACAAGGAACCCTTTGGTGGGAAAGAAAATGAGCCACCAGTATATATGTCACACAGAATCAATGCGTCTCTAAATAGCTTTTGAAAACACTGCACTGTACCAACGCATTTTTAAAAGGATTTTTGTAGAAATGTGACATCTTTGGGTAACTGTAAAGTATAACCCTACCCTATCCCCCC